GATCTACGTTTCATTTTGGAATATATTGTTCCTTGCAGAAAGACTCATTGTTTTTGCTACTAACACTGAGATGTTGGCACATGCATCTCTAATCTGTATGTATCTGATTATTACTAGTCATAATCTGTTGCACTCAGATCCTTGGCACCTGTGTATGTCTATAAAGTCATCTGGTAGATTTCAGTGGTAATGTTTATCACCTCTACTAATTAATGTAATGTAAATTTTTATGCTTCCTCCTCAAATATAATACATTTTTAAAAAATTTTTGCCAACCTTACACAGCCGACAGTAGCCGGGATAACAGAGTATAAGGGCTCTAGTGGGGGGAGGGAGGTTATGGGAGGGTGCCATCCAGGAAGTGTGTGTTCAGTTGAATAAGATGGTTTGGGATGTTCTGTGTGATATACACACACAAAAAAAAATGAAAATTATTTTTAAATAGAACTTTTTAAGCAGAACTTGACTATGTTCTTGAAATTTTTAAAAATAGTTATTAAGTTTCACTTACTATCTTCTATAAAAAAGGTTGGCCATATTTGAGTAGGCTTATCAGCTAACCTGGCCATCACATATTTAAGATAAACAAGTATACAATCACTGTCAATACCCTTACAGAAAAGGTAGAAGTTCTGATTTTGATGTCAGAATCAGATGGGCTTATTAATAGAGGTACATGTTAGGTAAATAAACCATACTTACAGAAAAAAATACAAATGACATTGGTAAGGAACACAGCTTCTTTGCAACTTTTAAATCTAATGTCCCTTGAAAGAAGTTTATTAAACACCAGAACTGTGTGCCATGCAGGTCTCTCTGGCTAGCCTGTAGATATTAGTCTTCCCCAGATGACTCAGTCATAACATCTAGAACATCATCCATAATTTTGTTTATAGCACTGGCACATTGGCCAGATTGAAATGACTACCAGTATCACAACTGTTTATGTAGGAAATAGTATTGGGTATTCCTGCCACCAATAACCACTGACTTAGGTCTCCATTACCTGTGCCATGCAGTATGACATGTAATAACACAGTGTACTATGATTTGTGATGATTAGTAATCCCTGGAGTCTAGTGATTTCAGGCAAACATTTCAGCTTTTGCTGCCGGCATCTGGACAGTAGCTTAAGGAAGTGGCTGAGAGGGGCCTTACTCAGCCTTAAGTATTTATAGCCACTTTTCTCTTCTTCACTCCTCCATCCCAACCACGATGATGTCAACACATTCAGAAACTTCGAGTGAAATCCCCTCCTTCCACACACATCCGTTTCAGCCTGCCTATTCTGTGATGAGTGTGTCTTTAAAAAGAAACTGTGTCTGCCTATGCCTTATCTAATAATTGACTAATAGACCACAACTGTAAGAGTTTTATAATATTGCCCTTTGAAAATAACCTCCATCCTTTTCTAGATTACTTAGGTTTGTTTGCTTGTTTTTTCTTCTAGATTGTAGAGGGAATGAAACAAAAAAAATGGAGTATTGAAAACGTTTCCTTTGGTTCTGGTGGAGCTTTGCTGCAGAAGTTAACAAGAGATCTCTTGAATTGCTCCTTCAAGTGCAGCTATGTTGTCACCAATGGCCTTGGGGTCTGTCCTTCAGCTTGTCTTCAAGTGTTAGCACTTTCATGTGTCTGGGACGAGTACAGTGACTGAGTGCAGTAGTCAAAGGACAGTATGATAGTTGAAAATTCTCAGATGATGTCAGGTACTACTGACCTTGAGTTAGAAACAGCAAAAGAAAGGTGTTAGGTAGTAACATCACAGAGGAGAACAGGAGACCTGGGGAAAGGAGCAGTTAATAAACTGAACGATTAGTTAAGAGAGATATTGTAGGCTAGTCATTTTCCATAGTTTGGGTATATACCTTTGGATCAAGAAGTTGGCCATGCTGGGCATAGTGGCACATGCCTTTAATTCCAGCACTGGGGGACAGGGGTGGGCAGATCTCTGAAATCAAGGCCAGCTTGGTCTCCATAGCAGGCTCTAGGCCAGCTATGGCTACAGGGAGACCCTATCTCAAAAAGAAAAGTTTGGCCATATTTGAGTAGGCTTATCAGCTAACCTGGCCATCACATATTGGAAGATAAGCAAGTATACAAATCGCTATCAATACCCTTTTAGAAACAAGTTCTGATTTTGATGTCAATCATGTTCAGTAGTCACACTTAGCCGCTGGGTAGCAATGTGTCTTTATTACATAATACTATATAAAATCAAGATAGTTTATAATATAAAGAGTCACATGTTAAAATTCTCAAAATTGTCCTGTAAATGTAGGTGTGGTGTGAGTTTTTGAGTTGTTTTGTTTTGCTTTGTTTTAATGGTTTAAAAAAAAGGATATCCAAGATTTGGGGTTTTTTTTTAATAATGACTGTCTTGAAGGAAAACAGGCTATTGAGTTATATTTCTAATAGTCAAATATGGATTAATAAGTCAGTTGTACCTGCAAAGCTATAAACTGCCTTTAAACTTAAAGGCATATACTTTTTTTTTTTTTTTTTAATACTGTTACTAGCTAGGGATCAAGCCCAAGGCCTGGTACATGGTAGGCAAATGCTCTACTACTTAGCTATATACTTCTTTAATTTTTTTAAGAAACATTTGATGGCTGATGATTTTTCTCTTTTCTTAATTTGGATTTCAGGTTAATGTCTTTAAGGACCCAGTTGCTGATCCCAACAAAAGGTCCAAAAAGGGCCGGTTATCTTTACATAGGACACCAGCAGGGAATTTCGTCACACTTGAGGAAGGAAAAGGAGACCTTGAGGAATATGGTCATGTATGTATCTCTGTTGATTGGATTCTTTTGAAACAGTAGTGAATTGGCTTTTTAAATTAGTAAAAAGGAGGTTTTATGTTAGACTTGTTAAGTTTTGTGACTTTGACATAATTAAGGGTTTTTTCACATAGTGAAAAATTCTAAAATGTTTTAGAAGTAAATTGTTTTCCTTAGAACTTAATGGTAACCAGTTCAAAGGGTTTTGTTTTGAAGTCTTTTGATTCTTAAGGCATTCTCTGAGCTAAAAAGGGGAGGAGGGGATTGTTATCTTAGCATAGAATGTATAAATGGGGCTGGAGAGATGGCTCAGTGGTTAAGAACACTGACTGTTCTTAGGGAAGACCTGGGTTCGAATCCCAGAACCCACATGGCAGCTAACAACTGTCTATAACTCCAGTTCCAGGGGATCTGACGGCCTCTTCTGTCCTCTGCAGGCATTGCACAACATGGGTGCGCTGACCTACATGCAGGCAGTACACACATACGCATGAAATAAAAATAAAATATTTTTTTTAATGTATAAATGGAGTAAGTTGATTCAGATTTCATAACTAATAAATGATGAAACCATAACTAAGGTTTGTGATTTAAGTCAACCAAACTGGGAAAAAATTATACGCTGAATTGTATGCTGAAGTAGGACATGTGATCTGATGGTTTTTAGCAATAAGTACATTTATACTTGTATATTGAAAAGTTAAAAATTACTGGTTTCTAAGTTACTTGGTTGGAAAAAAAAAAAGTCATTTTTAGAGAAAAACTCGTATTTATATTTGCCAAAAATACACTAGCTTAGTGCTATTATGATGCTTTTATACTCTTCACAGTTTATTGCTTATAGCATTTACTTTATC